GAACCAAGGGCTGTGTCTGCCGGGGGTCAGTCCCCCAGCCCCGGGAAACACTGTCCCCCCGTTTCACCCTATGCAGCCCCTGCTGTCCCTCTGCAGGTGAGTGAGAGGCACACGGCGGGCTCGCTGAACAGCCGCAGCACACCCAGCTCGGGCTCAGGTCACCGCGCTTCGTCTGCCGGGACAACCAGCCAAAGCCCCTTTAACAAAGGGAAGAGAGACTCGTAGAAACATTGGGAACAAATGGTTCGGTATGTAGCCTGGGAAGGAATGCCAGTGACATCTGGGTGGGCAGGGCTTGCCAGACACAATAGCAGTCGCATTCTAGAGGCTGGACTAGTTCAGCTCGATCCTTTGGTGCCCTAAAAAGAGCAAACCTCAGCTCAGAGGCCGCCCGGCCCTTCTCAGCCAGGCCTCGCTGGGAGCTGGTTTTCAGGAGACACGGCGCTGCAGCCGCTCTGCTGGGTAAAGGTGCCTGGTCTCTGCTACTCCCAAAGGCTGGCGGGTGGCCTTCTGCCACGTGTCCGGCCTGCAGAGTTGGCTGCCTCTTGTCAATTTCACAGTCCTGAGTAGCAGGCGGCTTCTTATCCAAGTAGACTGACGTTGGGCGGGACTTGATACGTAGCCCAGCGGCACCCAACGCCTCCCTATTAGTCCAGGCCCACCGCTGGAACACGGCTGCAGCTTTGATCACCCCCCCGCTCAAATACACAAATAGTAGAAACGAGAGAGGCACAGATGTGGGCCACAAAAAGGATTAGAGGGATGCTTGGACACCCGGCGTGGCAGGCAGGGGAAGGCTCTGCCTTCCCAAACCGCCAGGCGTAGCCCTGCCCACATTCCACCCCCAGGACGCCTGCGGGGCGGAGTGTTGCTGCCCCCAGCGCCCGCCCTCCCTGTGCTCCTGGGCTGGAGAGGCAGGGCTGAGCCAGGCCATGTGGCTGGGCCATGCTGTGTGCTCTCTGCCCTTCCCAAGGCTGGAGAGGCTGGGGCGAGTGTGTGCCCACCTGCTCTCTTCCTCTCCCCCTGGTTGGAGGGGGAATGCACACAGGGCGCATTGCCCTGCCTTCCCATAGGGGTGGGGCCTCAGAAGAAGGGACGGGGTTGAAGGTGGGGGCTGGGGGTCTGCCTCCCCCAGCTGTGCCTTCACCAACCGCCCATGCGAGAATGGAACAGGTTCCATAATAGAGGAGATTAAACAGACCAGGACTTTTCATCTTAGAAAAGAGACAAGTGAGGGGGATGTGACGGGGTGTATCGAATCAGGAGTAGAGAAAGGGAACTGGAAATAGTTATTTACCCCTTCACATAACACAAGAACTAGGGATCACCCCAGCAGGGTTAAAGCAGGGGCTGTCAACCTTTCCAAACTACTCTTCCCTTTTCAAGAGTCTGATTTTTCTTGTATAGCCATGAGTTCACTTAAAAGCTACTTGCTTGCAAAATGAGGCATAAGTGGCCCAAATCACTAGTACTGATACATCACTGACTTCCTCCTTCTGACCATATCGTTCTGAAATCAATCGACTGGCTCTAAATATTGTACTTGCATTCAGTGTGCAGCAGAGAGAGCACTATAAGCAAGTTGTGCTTTGCACTGCCTTCTGTAGTGTCTTTTCTGTAGCTCGCACACCTCGACAGCTCTCTAGATGAGTGAGAAGATGCCTGCACCCCCAACTGAGAATCACTGGTTTAAAACAAAGATAAGGAAGAACTTCTTCACACAACACAACTGGTGTAACTCCTTGTCAGGGAATGCAGGGCTGGTCAAAAGTCTAACTGGGTTCCAGAAAGAATGAGACACATTCCTGGAGTCCAGTAATAGTCCAGGGATGGTCCAGTGGAGTCCAGTGTTGGTCCAGGAATGGCTGCCAGCCAAGATGGCCAGGGACACAACCCTGTGTCCTGGGTGTCCCTAAGCCGCTGGCTGGAAAAAGCCGCAACGGGACGAGGGATGGATCCAGTCCGTAGCTGCCCTGTTCTGTTGGTTCCTTTGGAAGCCCCTGGCACTGGCCACAGTCCGAGGACAGGACGCTGGGCTAGCTGGGTCATTGGGCTTACCCAGGGTGGCTCTTGCTATGTTGTTAATACACAATGAGCAGCTCTTTGCTGGAGGCCCATCGCCTCCTCGGGGCCTGCCTTAAGAACAGGCTTCCGGGGGAAGATGCATCAGTTTGTCTGGCTTAGTATCCACAGATATTGCAACCTCACCTGCCACCCTCCAATGTATGGGAGGTGGAGGCTCAGTGGTGGGTGCTCTCCCCAGCAGTCAGCACTAGG